ATAAGAAGGGCATGTACACACACTCAAAGCTAATGCTTCAATTTGATTGAAAAATTAATTTGTGGGCAGCTATTTGAAAAGGATGCATTGGAAACATCTCTCAGTGCTTTATTGGTGGGTTCATGTCACACTACAGGTGACCCCAACACACTAAACTCGCCCCCTCCCTCACCATCCCTCCTCCCCCATCGCCCCATCACTCACATGTGCACTCTTACTCTGCATCCCCATCTCTCTCTCCCTTTCTCCCCCACCTTCCCTCCACCTCACCCTCGCACGCACACACTCGCACACTATCCCTCTCTCTCTCCCCCCACCCTACACACACACACACACACACACACACACACACACACACACACACACACACACACACACACACACAAAAAGTACACAATTTGTAGACAGTCAAATGTGTATTTTATAAATTCCTACTTTTGAAATAAAACCAGTCCGACTCCAAGTTAAAACACTGACAAATTCTAAACAAGGGTTCACACCTAAAATGCATTGTCTGACTTGAGATGTCACCTCTGGAATACTGATAAAACCTTTAGTTATCTTAGGCAGTGACTTGAAAGAAATTCTGGGATTTGCATGTTAATCAAAAACTGCATCTCCTTTCTAACTGATTAAAGATTTAACAGCCATCTTCATTTTGTTCAATACATTCACATCAGTTCCATGACCCTTTGATCCTTTGCTTATAAATTCTGTGTCTGATGCCACCTCTCTCACTAACATCTGAAGAAGGAGCGAGACTCAGAAGATTATGTTTTCAAATAAACCTGTTAGACTTTAACCTGGTGTTGAGATTTTTTTGATTATTGGTGAGCTGTTCTGCATTTTTAAGCTATATTCTAATGAAAATAAAACACAACCTAAGTTACAAGTGTAATCTTGTGTGTCATATTAATTCATTGCAGAGAGCGTGTGAGCACAGTCTTCTCAAAACACATTCCACATCATCTTGAAACCCCCCCAGTATATTTTTAACAAATTCATTTGGGAGACAGCACTTAATTAGGTTAGTGAATAGCTTCAATTGAGATTCTGAATAAATTTAATTTCAAACCCAGAGGGAAAGAATAATCAGCTTCAAAGAGGCTTTCTGGTCTGCATTTCATTTAGCCAGAGTGCTTTTAAATATTCTGAGATTACAGTTGCATTAATTCAGAAAGTAAATCAAATTGAATGTAGAAAATTCTTCATCTGGACTCTAAAGTACTGGAAAATCTTGCACTGTGCAGTGTAAATAGGATAGTCCCAGTACCTGGGAGGATGGCATCCAGGAAACTTTCATACTCATACAATATCAAAGTCTATCGTCAGAGAGGACTTAACAAGTAGCATTTGGGTGTAGCACATGTGCAAGAGTGCACAGTATTCTTATAACGTGAACAGACCTATCTGATCAGCAATTGAAAATGAAGACAATAGAATAGAATAGAATCTCTACAGTGTGGAAACAGGCCCTCGGCCCAACAAATCCACACCAACCCCTGCTTATCCCACCCAGACCCATTCCCCTATAACCCACCTAATCTACACATCCCTGGGCACTATGGGCAATTTAGCACAGCCAATCCACCTAGCCTGTATATCTTTGGACTGTGGGAGGAAACCGGAGCACCTGGAGGAAACCCACACAGACACAGGGAGAATGTGCAAACTCCACACAGTCACCCGAGGGTGGAATCGAACCCGGGTCCGTGGTGCTGTGAGGCAGCAGTGCTAACCATTGTGCCACCGTGCCGCCCACTAATAGGTGAAGCTTTCCAGCCCCATACCAAGATTAATCAACTAAGTACCAACTGAATCAAAAACCTTGGTCGGTAAGCCTCAGCTGTAATGTTTTAACAAGCTAGGGAAATACATTCAGAAAATTTTGAACAGCTGGCACACTTGTAGCTCCACTGGTTAAAGCTGTAGTCATGCTGCACAGACCAGGCCCAGGTACATATGAAGTTCAATCCCAAAAGCTGCTGAATTGCCTGACCTCAACTAGACCAGCAGTGGAGGTGCTACCTGTCGATAATCACTGTGTTGTGCAAGAGAAAGGAGAGACTGGGAGGAAACATAATTAGCCCCAGTTCACACGCCATTAGCTAACTCATAACCTATTCTGTAGATGCAGATATTTGGCTGTCGGGAAGGATGGATCTGTCAACTTAGCCTGCTCATTTTTAGTCAAGGCACACTCATGATGAACAAACACCTGGGCAGGAAGAGTTTTCATACAATATCATCACATGGGAGGCTAAGAAGAGTTACAAAACCAGCAAAAGTAGTTGATTTTAATTCACTAAAGGTGAATAAAGATAATAAGTATACCGCTCAATATCGAGTTCACAATTCGATGTTTGCTGCATAGTGATGATCAATTTCTTCTCTATCCCCTGTCGCAACTTAAAATACAGCTTCTCTCTGTCTTTCGGTACAGCACTGTGAAGAGAGTAGGAATCATTTTAGTTTCCTGCTTTGCTTGTCATAACAACACGAGTGAAGGGTAATTTACTATAAAAGCAGAGATTGCAAGGTGTGCATATGCCATGAATGTTAAATACTAAATAAAAACCGAAAGAACTGCGGATGCTGTAAATCATGAACAAAAGGAAAAGTTGCTGGAAGCTCAGCAGGTCTGGCAGCATCTGTGAAGAAAAAGTCAGTTAACATTTCTGAGGAACCCGAAACGTTAACTCTGATCTTTTCTTCACGGATGCTGCCGGACCTGCTGAGCTTCCAGCAACTTCTGTTTTTCAGCCATGAATGTTAGTTCATTTGTGAAACAACTGAAGGAGAACACTTTACAAAGGATCAATGTAACTTCCTCACCCCTGCATCAGACACAAACAGAATCACCAACATGTCACGTATAACATTAAGAACAACAAATTTTGAAGACCACCGCGGGTCAGGCAGCATCCATGGAGAGAGAGCTAGCTAATATTTTGAATCTAGATGACTCTTCATCAGAGCTGAAGTTAGATGTGGAAGGGGCAGCCTTTATGCTATAGATGGGCAGGGAGTGGTGGGGTGTGGAGTGCTGGGGGAGAAAAGACAATGATAGTTCAGATTAAGTGATCAGATCCCTTCCCCAAAACTATAGCATAAATGCTGCCCCCTCCACACTTCATTTCAGCTCTGATGAAGAGTTATCTAGACTTGAAATGTTAGCTAGCTCGCTCTCCATGGATGCTGCCTGACCCGCTATGACTTCCAGTGCAGATTCCAGCATCTGCAGTAATTTGCTCTTACTCATGCATCACATTGTCTCCTGGACCAGTTTTCTCAATTAGAATGATTTCCATGGTACAGGAGCTTATTCTAATACAAATTTGTGTTAAATGATAAGGGTTGTCCCGAAAGCAACTGGATTCTGTCATTAAAGATTATTAGCTTGAAAGCATTACTTCAGTCCACAATCTAGGCTTACACTGAAGAACAGCTACACACATGTAGCTGTCCCTCAAATACTCCAATATTGGAAATGGGGCATTTGAGTGAACAGAGGTCCTATCTGCTCTCTTGGATGAATGGAAAATACCCCACCACATTACTGGCAGCACAGTGGCTCAGTGGTTAGCACTGCTGCCTCACAGCGCCAGGGACCCAGGTTCGATTCCACCCTCGGGCGACTGTCTGTGTGGAGTTTACACATTCACCCCGTGTCTGTATGGGTTTCCTCCCACAGTCCAAAGATGTGCAGGCTAGGTGGATTGGCCATGCTAAATTGCCTGTAATGTTCAGGGATGTGTAGATTAGGTGGGTTACAGGGGCATGGGTCTGGGTGGGATGCTCAGAATCAGTGTGAACTTGTTGGGCTGAATTCCACACTGTAGGGATTCTATGAATGATTCTATGAATGATTCTATGATTATTTTGAAGATGTGCAGTTAGTTCTCCCCAGGGTCCATCCAAAATTACTGCTCAGCCATCTTAATTCAAATACAAGATCTGGTCATTTATTTAATTATTGCAAATACACGCAAGCAGTAATTAACTGCTGGCTTTCTTGTATTAGGACAGCAACATTTCTAAGGAACCGTAAACTGCTTTGAGAGGCTGCAAAATGCACCGAATAAAGGTTGTGGAAAACTTTAAGGCTGATTAACGATGGAGCGGCAATGCAGCATTACCAATAACTCGCACTGTGCTACATCTTTAAAGGGATGGCGGGACTGACATATGAGGAGAGATTGACTCGGTTAGAGATAACAAGGTGTAGAGC